CGCGGGACTCTGCCGCGGCAAACAGTTTGTGCGTGTGTATGCATAGATGGGAAAATAAAGAGTGACTTGGAAGGCTCTGTCAAAACGAGACGCATTGTAAAGCAAATGAATTTAAATAGCAAATAAAAATTTACTGTGCCTGCAGGACTTTAGCTCTCCAACAACACAGGAAATGGGTGACTACAAGTATTATCAGCCAGAAAGCAGCTTTTAAAACAAACAAACAAACAGGAATAAACAAATCCCTTCTTTCTCTCATCTTTTAACAGGATGGTACTGGGGCAACATGACTGTTGCTGAAGCCAAAGAGAGATTACAGGATGCCCCCGAAGGGACTTTTTTAGTTAGGGATAGTTCACATTCAGAGTATCTACTGACTATTTCTGTAAAAACATCAGCGGGACCGACCAATCTACGTATAGAATATCAAGATGGCAAGTTTAGACTGGACTCTATCACTTGTGTCAGATCTAGACTTAAACAGTTCAACAGCGTTGTGCATTTGATTGAGTACTATGTTCTTATGTGCAAGGACAGAACTGAAACGCCTTCAAATGGAACAGTTCATCTTTACTTGAACAAACCCCTCTATACGTCTGCTCCATCTCTGCAACATCGCTGCAGAATAGCTATAAACAAAAGTACAAATCAGATCTGGGAGCTGCCATTACCAACAAGACTAAAAGAGTACTTGAAAGAGTATCAATACCAGGTATAAATATATTTTCTAAATGCTTCTTATGTAGATTAACTTTCGAATGCAATTCTTAAAATCAGCCAAAGAACTGAGTAACTAGTTGTACAACTCGGCATGGAATTCACTATCAAAACAACGGCAGTTCTGGGGGAAAGGTTTTTATTTCAGATGCCACAAAGGGAGACTTATGTAGAATAATCCCAGCTTGCATCCTTGGGGGTTCAACAAGGTGTTGTGCTATTCTTGCCAGGAGAGAGAAGCCAGGAATCTGTCCAGATTGTCTTGCTTTGTCAACGGTATAAAATGCTGCACTATCAAATGCTTACTGAAGCAGCAGGACTGGGAGAGACTGCAGAAGTGGTCAGAGATGTATGAGAGTTTACAAGTATCTCAGCTGTCTGATTCCAAGATTAATTTGGTGCTGGTGTTCATATAATCCTGAAAGCTTAACTAGACCACACTGTGATAATCTTGCTAAAGTTATGCAACTAATCAAATCCAGTCAAAAAAGTGATCATGTAGTCAGTTTTTATTAAATTATGAGTCTCGTCCTTTTCTGCAAGCAAAGAAGTACTGTAAGTAACCAGTTTAAAACATTGTTTTTCAAAGTTCTCTAAAAGCTAACCTTAAGAAGAAATGCCACATCTTTCACAAGAACCCATTATGTTGCTGATTATACCAGATTGGTATCCAGAATCCTTAACATGTTAACATCTTCACAGTGATGATATATCCATGTTATTACTACTAAGCCTCATTACAATGTCAAAACATGGATATCAGCTGTCTTCTACAATGTAGAATGTTTTCTTCAGCTTGTTTCCCAAAATATGGGGAAATATGACTATTTTTTTGAGGAGGTTGGTTTTCTTTTTCTTTTCTTTCCTTTTTTTTTTTTTTTACTTCTAATTCACCATTGTAGCTATCAGACTATTACTCAATAAAGGAAATCAAATTGCACAACAATCTCCCAATCTTTGTATTTATGGATTTGCTACTATTCAGGAAACAGTGGTCTTAAAAACTTGTAAAATTTCCCAACTGATACTTAAATGCACAAGTAGCAGTGAGGATGAATACCCCTACTTTGCCTTTGTGGCGCTGCTCAAATGTACAGCTGGATTATGTTCAGATTAGTGGCTTAGAGACTGCCTGCTGAATTCCCATAGTTAGGTATTAGCACAGGACATTGCTTTTTCTGCTACTGCAGTCCTCCAGAGGGGAAGAGGGGACTAAGACCCTCAGTACCTATTCCTCAGCCTAAATATAAAGTATTTAATAGAAGAAATATCCAGGATGAGAATAACAGGAAAGCAGTAAAGAGAGGAACAAGGACATAGATTCATCTCTGCCTGCTGAATTCCCATAGTTAGGTATTAGCACAGGACATTGCTTTTTCTGCTACTGCAGTCCTCCAGAGGGGAAGAGGGGACTAAGACCCTCAGTACCTATTCCTCAGCCTAAATATAAAGTATTTAATAGAAGAAATATCCAGGATGAGAATAACAGGAAAGCAGTAAAGAGAGGAACAAGGACATAGATTCATCTTAAGAAATTCA